CCCACAGAATGTTTTGCAAGCCAGAGGTTGACATTGTTCAATAAACTGATTAATCAAACAGAAGTTACTTCAGAGATATTAAATAAAATAAAGACACCACCACATACTTCATAACATCATGGAGTCCAACTGCTGCAGGCAGAACAGCACCTCATGCTTTTTCTTGTCCTCAGATTTTTCCACAGATGTTTTCCATTGGTTATATTTTTACACTGCTAAAGCTACAATCAAAGCTGACTTCATGACGTCAAATCAGTGCACATTATTGCTTAAGCTACTGACCATTACCGAGAGCAGGATACCTGATCTGAGTGATGTTTGGTTTTACCCAGTATGGCTGCTCACACCTCCTTTTGATTATATGAATACTTTACTTACGTTACTCAGACAAAAAGTCTCTTGTTCCTAAAAGAGGTCCAATCTAACTCATTATCGTTTTCTCCTCATGCCTGGGATGAGGCATGTTCACCCCGTATGTTTTTAAAAAACTGTTTTGTTGAAACCATATATATAGATGAAGACCGAAATTGAATTTCTGTAGCTTCTTCAAGTCAGGATACATCAATCTGTTTAATGCTTCAATTCACTATTGGATAATTGCTCTGATTTTGATCAGTTTGTTTAGGTGCTGATCGTATTGATTTACTCATGCACCTGATGACACTACTAGGGGGCCAAAAACATTTTTGACTGTAAAGCGACCTAACATCCCCTGTGTGGAAGGCCACAGCAGCAGACAGATACACACTGAGACTCTCTCCCTGAACTTTTAGTACCACATTTATAGCACGGACAGTCAATCAAACTGCAACTCACTCCTCTGCAAAAGACTGCTGTCTTTCCAAATTTTGCAGTCCACTCCTCTGCAAAAGACTGCTGTCTTTCCAAATTTTGCAGTCCACCAGCAAGGATAAAAACACTTCTTAATATACATCAGTTACAGCATTACAAGAAAACGTAAGATGGATTGATGTATTTGGAGACTTGTGATGCTTACTGTTTGTAAGATGATGGTTAAGTTCTTCGTATGCTTTTAAGGTTGCAAAACACACCCAGAAAATCAAGATGTTACACAGTTGTTTAACTGGTAAAATCTGTGTGACAAAGCTTATGCTGATACTGTCAACACACAAGAATTTGGAACACGCTCAGAGGCACCAAACACATTCAGCAACTTGAGAAGACTCAGCATGAAGGAAAAAACTGGAGGTTTATGCAAAAGCTGTAATTTGAACAGAAAATACTCGTCAATTTTTTTTAAATTTTTTTATTTTTTTAAAGCTAGTTCGTATACCTGCTGTCTAGGTATACTAACTGGAGATTGTGAGCTGGAATTACTGCCGGAGTGTGCTGATAGCTGATCTACTGAAACAAAAGTCAAGAATTTTAGACTATGAAAATGGAAGTATTTAAGGTGCAAATTGAAACATGATGAAATATTGAAACATTTCAGACAATGTCACATTGACAGAATAAGGTAAATAAATCATTTATTAAGCTCTGTGACTCTAACTAATTAAACTTATGCATACTATTAATCCCTGTAATCAATCCAGTTAAAGACTAAAGCAGTCTCACGTGTTTGTACCCAAAGTGCTCTACTGAAGTGAGCTTTAACAATGCAGCTAAGCAGAATGCTGGGATCAGTCAGAACTCAGTGACCATTATGCTGCTGGGAAGCAGAAAAAGTTTGGAAACTCACCTGCTTGGTGTTTTTGAGGTAAATGTGATATTGCCCAAGATAAACAGCATTCATGCACTGTTACCTGTGTTTCTCTTGGAATGTTTAGTGCTTCACAGATGAGGCTTGTTAGGAAACCCTTCCTTTGCATAATGTCCACTCCTAAAAGACAAGCTCACGGTATTTTGCATAACATGTAACAGGACAAATATTCATCCTTCGTCTTTCTTTTCTCCTCCTCATTAAAAAATACTCAGGAAAACTTTGGGGAAAAAAATAAGATTTAACATCATTGTATTTATTAGGTTCCGAAACAATACACATTCACATCCTTTTGAATACAGTACATTTGGCACAGTAATAATGTTTACGATGAAATAACACTAATGAATGGCATTACATCCATAAGAAAAAAATTCTGTACAAATAAATCCTCACAAATAAAAAAAACCTACCCCCCAAACTGAATACATTTTATATTTAGCCAGAACTATTCTGCACATAATTTAAAAAGAGGTAATTTGCAAGCCTTTTTTGGAGAGAATTATTCACCCTATTGAGAAAAACGTGTTTCCATTTTTTATTAAAGTCTACTTGGAACGAAAAACAAGAAACAACGGATTCTTTATAATTATTATTATTATTAATAATATTTTTGGCATTTTGCACTCATTTTACAAAGAAGAAACAGGAAATATTTTACAGAACAGGCAGAAATGTAACAGAATGTCCATTTTTAAGAATTATCTGTAAAAAATGTTCAAGGTAACAGACAGATCTTCTGATGTAAACCCAATGCAGAGGATCTAACTATTTATATTGAAGAAATATCTGCCCATGCAAAAGTTTTTATCTCCTTCACTTTCTCTTAGCATCCTACCAAACATTGCAGGTGCTGAGGCCTCTTGAAATACAACCATTTGCTAATTGGTTTCACGTTAGAAATGGGAACACAGACTACATAGCTTGCTTACAAAAGCTTTATGGGACGCTATTATTCCTTCAACATAAATGCTCAGAGTTTTGCGTAAAGGCCTCTGGTTGTACAAACAGTAGTGCACGATTCGATAACCTGTCTTCCTAGCCACTCTACTCACCTATGGAAAAGAACGCTTTAGCATTGTGATCAGTTCTCGCCTGGATGTCAAAAGCTAACCATGATGAGAAAAAAACAGAGCCAGTGGCGAGACACAAATTGATGGGCAGTTCTACAATATATTTCTAAAAGAGAAAGAAATTTAAACATTGAGATGATGCAATCATTAAGATGTTTCTGTGCTGGTACTCAGCTCCAGAAGCTAGTCTTTTCCCAGTACAAAAGATTACTGAAGATAAATTAAATTAAACTAAAGGCTTGATCCATTATTACACCTGTAGGCCAGACAACACATTAATTGATATATCGTAATATTTAATATTTTGAAATCATTATAAGAATATATATAATAATTACACCTGAGTTTTAAAAACAAAACAAAATGGAACTGAATGTTGTCATCAGTAACAGGCTATGAGCAGCCAGACGCAAAACTGACACAAACTAACTCATCTGCTTGAGACCGAGATTATCTCTTAAAGCCAATGATTCACACCTTGTCCACCACGATTTGTAACATTCCTTTCTCTTTTCGAGCTCTATCATGTCATAATAGAGTTGAAGAGAACTATACAAGAGATTTAGTATAGCTTAATATATGTCTACATCTTTTATAACAAAAACCTCATCTCTCTGACAGTAACTTGAACCAATACACATACAAGAGTATTGCACATGGACATTATTATAATTATTCTTTCATAGACTAACATTTTAATAGTATGCCTGAACATGCAGCAGTTGATACCTCTATATTCAATGAATTCCACAGGCCTTGCAGCAAACACTATATACAAAATCTCACCTGTACAAAAGGCAAAAAAGCTTCTTTAGTGCCACTTTGCCAATCACAAGTATATATATTTTTGTGCAGCTGGAAATCCATGTGCAACAATTAAAATGGATTCCAATGACCGCTCACTCAGTCCAGTAAAATATATAATAAAATGACCTCAGCGATACATGTACACAAAAAAAAATCCAAACCACAGGGTACTCCTGGAAATATAAGTACATAACACTGTTAGCATATCTACAGGAGGTAACTTCACATTAGTAATATTGTCCACATGAGTTACCATTTCAATTCATACACAAAAAAATTCAATTTACAACTTTCAATAATGTCAGTTTGTGAATGTTTGATCTTCAGTTTTTTAACACACTTCCACATAATGCACGTGTAGCCTTATTTTGTGTCTTTTAAAAGCAGATTTCTCTTTAGATTTTAAACATAAAAAACAACAAACACAGTAGTATTATGGTTTTGTAAAAGTGTGCAAAAGTAACACACTGCTGAGAAAATAAATATAAATAAGAAATTATTTATCAACTTAGCTACAATGGAAAAGGCAAATTTATAATGTTTATAATTCATTTTTGATGTAAAATTAACTGTGCACATTTGCAAGCTTGCCATCACATTAATGGTTCATTTAAATGGATATTAAATTTGGTAACATGGATAGTACACCCAATTGCCTGAAAAACTATAAAATGCCTATATATAGCTGTGTTAAAGTACTATAGGCTTTTTATTCTTTAGCCCTTTAATAACTATCCATATAGTATCTATTTCCTGCTTTAAATAAAATTTCAGTTGTGTTTGTGACTCTTCTTATTCCTAAGAGTTCTGTAAATTGTACGAGGAACTTATCGAAAGCTTTAACCAATGTGCTTCTTTTCCTGGACAGCTTTATTTAAAAATAAATTAATAATTGAGGATTACATCTCCATGAAGGCAGAATTCTTTGCTTATCAAAGGGTAACATAATACTTAGTTGTTCCACATCTGAGTACAGATCTTACCATAACCACCAGTGCAGAGGAAACAGTTCTCACCTTCTTTGCATAACTACATATGACGATTACAGAATGTGATCTGCTAAATCACTTTTAACAGCACGGGTTCATTTTCCACAGAAAAGATGCAATTTTGTCCTCTGGGGAGATCTTAGGAATAAAAGAAAAGTTGCAAATATATGGCAGTGTGTTACATCTACAATTTCTGATACAAAATTATTTTGCATTGCTTTGTGAGACAGAAATTAAGAGTGCTTTCAGGTCAGAAGATTAAAGGAAAAAAACAATAAATATATACTTTAAATGGGGATATGGGCTCAGGGTAAGAGAAGTAGTTCTTGATCTACTGAGTCTCAGTAATTTGATGATCTCTTCAGAATCACTTCTCGCAGCATCATTCATCTGTCAGCCTAACGTTGTCTATGGCAGTAGCTCTTCTCCAAAATAAGAGAACCCTTTAAATTCTTCTTGATTGATTTGTTTTATAATTGTCTCATCCACCAGCGTTAATACTGGTTCTTCTCGTGTAAAGTCTTGGTCAAAGTTATTTACATCCCTTTTGGTTTTCTGAGAAGAAAAATACAAATAAAGTGAATGGTAAAACAGCACAGTAAAATAAAAGGTGCTCTCCCTCTTCTCCATCCCCCCTGCAAGGCTGAATTTTCTGGAATGATTGAAATAAAAGAGGAGCTACTCCACACAAAGAATAACAGACGTATGACAGAAGCTACAGGAGCAAGTACTATAAATGAGTTCAGGAGAGGCCACAGAAGCAGTACTATAAATGAGTTCCCAGAGACTCGCGCGTCTCTGACAGGCAAAGGAATAGCAGTATGGTGATAAAGCAGGAAGCTGAGATTAGGACTCGTTTCAAAAGGCTTTGGCATAGTAGGTGGTATGGCTGTTTCCTCTTAAGATTCAAACATAATGATATCTCATTTGAGAGGCCCAGAGCGAGCTGATTTAATTGATTTCCCCACAATATAGCCTACTGTTTCAACTCTAAGTTAACTGTTTCTTTATATCTGGCTACACTCAGCTTTAAAATCAGACCTAGACCTCACAACAGCTCTCAGTCCAAAATCCTCGAGCTCCACATCAGCAACTCAGATTTCCTAACACAGCCAAATTCACTCAGAGCACCACGGCAAACTGCGAAATTCTGGCTCCAGACAAATCCACCTCAGAATTCTTCTTCATTTCAACGGCATCAGGATTTCCCCACTGAAGTCAAAAGCACCTTGCTCCTTCAGCAAAGTTGGGCCAGCAATGTGCAACTGTACATGTTGCTGTTGGGACAAGATGTATTAACCAGAGACAGTCCTGGGAGGCCAACTCGTTGTCCTCAGGGCACTCATGACGGTGACTATCTGTGACCACTTACATGTAAAAAACCCCAAGGCTGAAGGGGAAAACATTCCCTATGGTTATTCCCTTGTGACCTGCACTGTTGGTGTTTTCCACGTTAGCAGCGTATTTCAGGCATGTACAGGTTCAGGGCATCAAAACAAGCATTTTCCTCTACACTCTCTTTTTTCTCTTTGTTTCATGAGATCTCATGGCTCCCTGAGTGATACTTAATGGAGGCACACTGACACACTGAAAACTAGCTTTGTGTCCATCCTGCACGTCTGAGATTCAGATGATACCAGAAACAGAACGGCTATTTGACTTGCAAAGTAAAATGATAACATCATACAGTGATACATCATAAAGTACATTAATGTATTCCAGATGGGATATATGCCTTCTTTCAATGTAGGTAAATTTTCCCATAAAATATACATATAATTGTATTTTCTTCATCAGCTCTACTGAGGCACTAAACCAAATAGTTTTATTTCTCACAACTGTAAAATGGTCATAGTGACCTTCACCTACATTGTTTCTAAGAACTTTATAGATATAGGGGAAAAAAGGGTCTCTATAAAAGCAAGAGACTGTCACTTGTAAACAAAGTGCTTTCCAAGCACAGGCAACCAAAAATCCACATCCTCTGTCTACAAAATTCCATTAAAAGGAAAGGAACATGGACTTAACAGACATATATATATAGGCTTATATTGTTTACATTTGCAATATTTACTTTGTACATAAAGACTGGACATAAAGTGTATGTGACCCATATACTCTGAACTGTGAGGGATGTGGATTTGTGCTTTGTGTTTTTTCCCAGTCATTTGGGCAAATACTGCAAAATAAGAACGAAATTCCACATGAATTTTAAAGTGCACTACATTGCAACTACATCTACATTCTTCTTGTTCCCCATCTCCTACTGTAGTATTTTGACACACCCATACCATGAATTTGCTACAGGAACAGTCACTAAAGCAGAAGGAGGTAAGTGAATACTTGTAGAAAATAGAATTCAAATTCAGAAGTGTAATTATGTGCAAGAGGAACATGACTACACTCACACTTTAACCACTAGCTATCCAGGGCAAATAAGCTCTGCACTAGCCGAGAACAAATACAATATATATTATTTTCAGGTTTTCATACTAAACGTATTTGTGGAAAGTGTTATTTCCTTGTTGAAGCTAAAAGAGTAAGGTGACAAATTCCTCAAAATCTATCGGGGCAGTTGATTCCCAGTAGATACTTTTTCCAGAAAACCATCAGTAAGATTTGTGAAGGTGTTAGGCGAAAAGGAGTACAGATGAGTACATCTGAAAAACTGTCCCAACACCAGTGTACCCAAATCCTATTGATTAAAAATAATTGTACTTTCAGCAGAACTTTGGATCCCAAACACTTGTGAAACAACAACCAAAGGTATTTGCTTAGATTTAAAAGCCTAACATCTTAAAATATGCCTTCAAGACCAAGGAAAGAAATAGAAGTTTTTACTTTCTCAGATATATAAACAATTCCATCTCTATTTGGCAGCATAGATGTACATCACCCAGTTTATTACCAGGACAAGTATGAGGCAATCTAAGATTGCAAGGATATGCCAGCAAGCCTCTAACCAACCAATTCATGAAGTGAGATTAAATAAATCACAGGGAACAAAAGTGAGTGGATTAAATCATATGACACAAAAGGTTCATAGCAAGTGCTTCTTTTCAATGGAAAGATTTATTTGAGAAACCCTCCTTAGCAACTCAGGCACTTTCTTCCTGAAGCTATGACTATTTTGCAAGACCCCATCTGCTAAGACGAAACAGGTCTGGCCACATTTCTGCCACTACTGCTATTTTAATGGGCTTGCACTGTGAATACTCTCTAGGCCAGCAGCATCCATGAACCAATATATAGCTGCAGCATGAGGGCTCAGGATGAAGGTATGAAGGGCTGTGGCTGTCTCCTAGCAGAGAAGCTGAGAAAAGAAAGAAGATCTGCAAGGTAAGGAGAGTATATAAAGGAAACAGACGGCAGCTATTATCCAACCTTGAGCATTAAAAAAATCATGAAGAAAAAAGGAAAAATATTTAGATTGGCTGGCAAATGCATCATTAAAAATGCAGTAATTAAATGGGCGGGATTCTGTTTATTTAGCCTGCAGCTCCTGAGACTTTGGGACACATTATTTTTAACTTTTCAAACTTTTTTCCAGGCAGGACTTTTCAATTTCAGATGGCTGAAGAAACTAGGTTATTAGGAAAAAAAGAACCCCCAAAACAACAGCTGTCCACCCAAACACCCAGAAATTAGACTAAGATTCAGATGCTACTTTTTTTCTCTCTAGACTACCCAAACACCTTGTGTTCAGCATGCGTCAATGCTGCCCGAGAGCCGGGGCACAGCAGCTACCCAAGAGGTTCCAACAATACGTGCCAAATTCCACGCTGCACTGAAACTGCTCCTACTGCGGGCAGCATGTGGGCAGTCTGTCTCCGTCTGACAGAGAGCAGCAGCACTGCCACAGCACTTTTAATGACTAAAAATGACACGACTCCAATTCTAAACCTCATCTGAAAGATGGCTTCTCCACCAGCATGGTATCTCTGATAGTAAGAAGGAATAGTGACTCACTACCTCTTGTGCAGGAAACCCACCAGCTAGTCGATCTTTTATTTTTTCTAGCAGTGTGAATGCTTCATAGGTCTCCCGTCTGAGCACTGACCTAGTGTGACCTACTTATCCTGGGAGACATGGTGGACCTGCTTCATGTGGGTGATACGATCTGATTAGATGCAACACTTCTGCTACAGAAATAGAACCCCTTGAATTAATGAATATTAACATGACCTACTGCTCATGATGGATGACAATTTTTAAGTCACAGAATCACATAATGGCAGGGGTTGGAAGGGAGCTCTGTGGGTCATCTAGTCCACCCCCCCTGCCGAAGCAGGGTCACCTACAGCAGGCTGCACAGGACCTTGTCCAGGCAGGTCTTGAATATCTCCAGAGAAGGAGACTCCACAACCTCTCTGGGCAGCCTGTTCCAGTGCTCCATCACCCTCAAAGTAAAGAAGTTCTTCCTCATGTTCAGCTGGAACTTCCTATGCTTCAGTTTCTGCCCATTGCCCCTTGCCCTGTTGCTGGGGACCACTGAAAAGAGTCTGGCCCTGTCCTCTTGACACCCATCCTTAAGATGTTTATAAGCATTTATAAAGTCCCCTCTCAGCCTTCTCCAAGTCAGCCATGTTTTATCCTATTCAAAGATTACTGCTGCTGTTCGAACAGCTAAAGATATTGGAAATTCTAAAATACTGTCTCTTCATAACACAGCATTTAATCAGCTTTCCTAGTTGGCCTGCACAACTTTGGACAAAGGAATATTGTTTTATGAGTCAAAATGCTTTTTTCATTAAATGCCTTCACATAAATACTAAAAGATTAAAAGGAACTTCATACACTATTAATAAGCACACATTAAACAGTGGTTTTCTGAACTAGGCTTATCTTTACTACCATTTCAATGAAAAATTAATTTTCTACCTCCAGTCACAGACTCAAGCTTAATAAAAACCTCCAAAACATGATTAATAAGCTTTCCAGTGTCATTATCAACCTTCTCTGTTAATTATGAGTACGTTTCACTATATGAATTGGAACAGTGAATAAAGAAATCTAATTTGATGGGTTTATCACCTTAAATACATTGAGAAAGTTAGAACTTGCCATTCCTTCCATTAAACACGTGAACCAAAAGTGAATGACAGGAGCCTTTGGTATTGAAAGGCCACAGAAATCCTTGCAAGAAGGCACCTGACAGCGGGTGTTCCAAACCAGGGAACTCAGCAAAGCTTGGGCACCTCATCAGCTGTGCCATGAGGCCAAGAGGCTGAGGCTCGGTGGACTCTATTCCGCCCAGCAAAAATTAAGTTAATTCTCCAGCTTGGAGGCATTAAGACACATCTGTGTCTACTCCATTATTTGTTTTCATTTAACTTGAAAAAAATCACTAAAACTCTTTGAAGTCCATTGCAAACTCAATGGCTCCGTTGAATTGGGCTTGAATTGTCTAGTGGGTTCAAAGGCTACTCAGAGGAGGTGAAAGAAAGATGGAGATGGTGGCTAGAAAACAACACTGCAACAACAGCGTAGGTTTTTTATTTCAGTCTGATTTTTCTACAAATTCACAATATGCTGTTTAAAAAAACCCTGTAGGA